TATTGTCCCGGGCTCTCCTGCTGCTAAGTCCCCCCTCCTCTCCCCGCTTGGTTTGGTTGTGGTGTTTGCTTGTTCTTATTTTTGTGCGTGTTCTGTGTCTTGTCCGGTTCTGGTGTTGCTTTTGGTGCCCCTGTCTCCTTGTTCTGTTCGGGTGTTTCTGCTCCTTGCTCCCTTTGTGTTCGGTTGGTGCTCTTCCTTCTCTTGCGTTTGCTCTTTCTTCTCTACCTGCATGTGCTACTCAGGACTGACTGTCAGATTACCATCCTAGAACTGCAGGTATACTGCGATGTGGTGTTGCCGTGCACAGCATGTCACCCCCTCACTATTGCAACCCAGGCCAGTACCAGAACTAAGGCAGCCGTACAAGTCAGAGGCTCAACGCAATTTAGGTCTCCTTTGCCCCTAATGATTTTCTCATTTACCTGTTGATCGTCAATTTCCACTGGGGCTGAGACCATGAGCCACTGCTGGGGGGGTGCTGCTGGTTGGCGGTGCTTGCGTAGCCGGCCCGTGCTATGGAACTGACGGTGATCCAGCAGGACCTTGCCCTGCTCATTGACTGGCGACCAGTGCTCTGTCCTGCTGTAGATCTCTCAGTGCGCCCGTGAAGCAGCAAAGCCTGCATACATGATGCCTCGCGCCCGTGTTTTGCCGCTGCTGGCTATGACAGTTTCCAGGCACCCTGGCTCGCGCAGATCTATTGATACCTGACCTGGACCTTTTGCTGTTTCAACAACTCCACCGACCTCGTGCTGTACGTGAGCAGCAATCACCACTTGATGCGAAGATCATCTAGTTGTGCTTGAACTGCTTGCACCAGCTCGGCGGTCTGAGTATGAGCTTTTGTGGTGGAAAAGCAACAGCCTGTCCTGTGGCAATTGTTGTGTGTTTGTTTGTGTTTGGGCCTCCGCTCCGTTTCTTGCTTTTCTGTTTTGTTGTTGGTTTTTGTTTGCGGGAGTAGATACGCACTTCTGGCCTGGGGAAGTGCATTTCGACTCTACGCCGTCGGTTTCTTGTTTTTGATTTGCCGCCTCGCCCTGTACAGATTAGGGTTTTTTCTTTGACCGAGCCTTCGAGCTGAATCGGCCACACTCGAGCAAAAAAAAAATTGAGTCAGTTGCAGAGGTGTTTTTTGGAGCAGTTGCAGGGTCAACCCCATGTACAAGTAAAATGTGGCTGCCAGGGGCCCCCTCTTTTAGCACAATTTGCCGGAAGATCAGAACAATTTTGCGACGGTCTTGGGCTTTGCAGTCCGGGCAGGTGGCATCCTAGCATGCGACAGTCGGGGAGGACAGAACAGCATCTCAAATTTTGTGAGAGGCTTTCCCATATCGTTGACAGTTTTTGCAGAAAGAAACTGGGAGACCTGGGAAAGGCCACGATGAAGTTGGCTTTGGGGAAGTTTCAAGAATCCCCTTTTGCGCCTTCGGATTTGGAAGAACTCAGAGAGGAATGGTTCAAACTTTTGCCGGACCCTGCTAGAGCAAGGGAGGTGCCAGAATGATAGCCCTTTTTCCCTTTTTGCCTTGGCGCAGTCAGGTTGATGGGCGATCCAGACACCGACATTATTGACAACCATGGGGGCAGCAGCAGGCAGCGTTCATTTGGGTCATTTGCACCCCTTTGGGGCCAACACCACAGGTTTTCCGTCCACGAGTTAAGGACCCGAACTACGACGAAACAGATTGGACCTTGTGTATGGACAACTATTTCAGGGGCAGCGAAGCCGAGGCCGAAAAGATCCTGGAGGATCACTTCAAGGAGGAGGAGCTGGAGGGTCCTATGCAACCTTTGTCCGAAAAGGAAGCTATTCGTAGGTTTCCAGGGAAGGAGCTGCGCATAGCGGCCCAAGGCATCTTGGACAAGCCTGACGGTGGCCAGAGGATAATCCATGATGGTACGCATGGAGTCAGGTTGAACAACAAGATTTAGGTGATGGATCGTTTGGAAAATCCTGGGCCCAGGGAGCTTGCCACCATTAAAATGCGGTCGTCGGGTGAAGCAGGCGAACATGTGATTTTTGCAATCAATGCAGATATTGCCAAGGCTCATCGGCGAGTCAAAGTGCGGGCAGCAGATTGGGGAGTTCAGGCCTGCAAGGTCCTTATCCTCCAAGGTAGTCTGGGTATACAAAACAGGGACCTTTGGGGTCTCGTCGGCAGCATACTGGTGGAGCCGGTTGGTGGGCCTGTTAGGACGCCACGCTATCAATCTTTTGGGAAAGTCGTTGATCTTCATCCTGACCTTCGTGGATAACTTGCACATAGCGTCAGGGGGCAAGGACAGATGGGGCCAAATTTGGCGCTTCATTGCGGCTATGGAGATGGTTGGAACCCTCTTTCCTACAAAAAGTTCAGGGGAGGTTTTACTACGGGCGTTTTGAGGTCGGTATGTCGGAGCGCAGAATTGCTTGGCTGGTAGAGATCGTCAACAAGTTGGAGGCCGATCAATGGCTGGTCTTGGTAAGGAGGTAACAGGAATTTCATGGAAGGTTGGGGTTTGCATCGCAGGTTTTACCCTGGATTAAGCCGTTGCTTGCCCCAGGCTACGTTTGGATGGCCGCAGTTTGAAAGGCAACGACTGTAAGAGTCCTAGAGATGGTCGCTTTGGTGTGCTTTTTCATACGCCAAAAATTTTTGGCGGGCCTGCGCAAGATACCGTGCACTACACCCGAGGTTTACAGAGGTGAATTGTTTCGAACAGATGCCAAGTGCGAAGATGGCCGCATAGTCTTGGGTGGATGGACCCTGTCCGGCGCTGGCGGCCCTATGCAAGCAAGCTGGTTCTCTTTCGTGGGCCAGCACAGCAGCGGAACTTCTGGCGTCCCTAGCAGCGTTGAAGGCTTTCAGGATTGGGTTTGAGGATGGTTCTGCGAAAGGTTCCCACTTGCTTCGATGCGGCGGAGGAACGGATAACAAGGCAACTGGGCAGTTGGTTCAGAAACGATTGAGCGCCAAGTGGCCAGTGATGATCATTTTGATGGCATTTTGTTGGACTATCATGGCTACTGCGAGGAGGTCGGAATCCGATGCGATCTGGATTGCAGACCCAGAGATGTGAATGTGGAGGCGGACGAGCTGACAAATGGCATTTTCACGTCCTTCGACATGAGGAAACGTGTGCCTTTGGAGTGGAAGGATTGGCACCTCCCAATGGAGGAGTTGTTGATGAAGTTTTCTGAGGCCTTCTGTAAGAGAAGGCACGATGCAGTGGATCTGGGTGCCAAGGATGGAAGGGCGAAGTTTCAGAAGACTGCATGGGGCTGAAAGCTTCGTTTCATTGGGGCATTTTGCTCGCTTCTTAGCCGTGCAGTCAGAGCAACTTGGATCTTTTCACGATCCTTTCTTGGTTGATGGTGCTGTTACGCACACCATTTGAGAAACTTCGCGTGGCACTCATCCATCTTTGCAGACAAAAAAAATTGCCCGCCGTTTCACTGTTCTCAGTTGTTTCCAGTTGTTTGTGTCGATGTTTCCACTTGGTTGTTTGTGCGCTTACGCGTATTTGCGCTACGCTGGTTTTAAATCGGAGACAAGACCCAGTTGGGTAACGTAGTGCACCAACGGGTTTGTTTCCAAAAGAAAACCGCGGTGGGTTGGGAGGGTCGACAATTTGTTTTATGATCACGGTAGACGTTGTTCTTGCACAGTATAGATAACGTCTACGTGGTAACTGACACGGGCGACTCTGTTAGTTTGTCTCGTCCAGTTTTACCTGGCTATAATTTGCGCCGCTGCGGTTTTACCCGCTCGTCAGCGTTGACCCTTACGTGTAGCGTTTTCAAACTCAGCCGCATCTGCTTTACCGTTCGGGTTTTACCCCAGGCGTTTCGCAGACAATTCAAATCGAAACTTCAACTTTGACATGTTGTTGACACTTGTCATGTTTTGTGTTGCAGTTGCATTCTCAGTGATGTCAGTTTGTGCTTGTGTTTCAGTTCTTTTGTTCTGGGTTTTAAGTTCTAACTTGCTTGGCAGCATGGCTCAATTTTTAAACACCCACCTTCTGCCAACCAATCATTCCAAGGAGGATTGGAAAACTGGAAAACGTTCATGTCAGCGTCATGCATGGGACATGGCCACCGCACAAGGATGAAACGCACAAATCGAGACTGCATTCCTGGACACAGACTTGGGACGTTTGCATGTGAAACCATATGTCAATGCATAGGCCCGTGGTTCAAAGGAAAAGAGTCCGACTGAAGCCGCTCTTTTTGCATTTCTGCATTTTGGCTGATTAGCAAGAAGTCCGAAACCGTTGAAACAAGTCCGAAACGGTTGAAACGGTTTCAAGCCGTTTCATATTACTTGCTAGGTAATAGTCCGAAATTGCTTGAAGCCGTTTCATGGTATTTGCTAGGTAATAGTTTGAAACCGTTTCATGCCCTTTCAAACCATTCCTTTGAAACCCTAAGTTACATTACGTTTTTGTTGTCTATTCATGTATAGTTTTTTGGATGTGAAAAAACCTCTCAAACTTGGATTTATTTAGAGAATAATTTGTGTAAATTACGGTGTGTTTAAGAAATAACTTCAGGCTTCACGGAGGCCAAGGCACTCCCCAAGTTATTTCCATTTTTTTTTCTGTGTTTGTCACCGGTTTGCTGCGTTGTTTCTTATGTCCAATACTGTCAATATTTGTTATAGGTGGTCTGTCACATGCGTAACCTTTATATACATGGCTTTTTCCCAAAACCTTGGCTTACGCACTCATGCTTTGGCTTAAACTTAAACCGTGGTTTACAAAAAAATCGGTGTTTTGCGTAAAAACCGTGGTTTGCACAAAACGCTGTTTTGCACAAAAAACGTGTTATGTACAAAAACCATGTTTTACATCCCACATGGATTTGCATTTTGTGTTGCAAAAACGGGGTCATGTTTTGTCGCTGGAAACGGCTGCCAAATCATGTTTTTATCAAATGCGCCCGGATTTTGGCAACAGGAGATTCGAGGATCGAAGGAGACACTTGCCTTTTTCACCGGCGTGCCGTGTTTCTGGCCATGGCTTTTAGTTGTTTTCAATGGATCGTTGGAGGCGGGCTTAGGGGATCTTTTAAGATTCCATCTCCAAGCACAGGTTTGCCTGTAGGATCACAAAGCGGAAAATTCCTTGAGATTTTGGGAAGATGTGAAAAAACTCACATTGTTCGAAGGATTGCCTCTGATGCACAGGCTGGAGCCAGCAGCTGACGGCAGGACTTGTGGGTTGTTGGCTTTGATGTGGCAGTCCCCAAATGGCAACATGTCTGCAGGTTGTATTTGCATCCCAGAGGCCCAGAGGCCCAGAAGTCGTAAAATTGCGAGTGTACACGAGGAGACCAGAAGCATGCTCCAGAGGCCAGCTAGCTGCAGCTAGGTCGCTAGGTCTTGCGAGTTGAGGGTTTTAGATGTTTTAGTGCATTTGACTTGGTAGTGGGAGGAGTTCAACAAATTGGTTGGTGAAACGTGACGAATCCAAATTTGATGCGGACAGCTTGTGAGAGATTTGGTAATCTGGTTTTGTTTACTCAGATCTGCTGCCACTTTGTGTTGACCTCATCTCCATTTTGGCGCGCGGTTACCCCGTCCCCGTCAATGTCTTGATATTCTGGTTTGATACTTGATATGTCTTGACATGTAGACGGACGCAAATCGATTGAACATTGATGCTCAAGAACCATTCCAATACGTTTGGCATTGACATCGAAAGGACATGGATCAAAAAATGTGCTTTCAAGTCTTGGCAGGGAGAAGTTTCTGCGGAGACCTGCGTTGAATCTTGGATCTCCACTGATGCAGCAGGCCCGGACAGATGGCGATATCAGGGCAAGGCCAACTCAGGTGTTCCTTTTTGCAAATTGCACATGGTTTTGGCCACAGATCTTAAGACCCAAGGATGCATTTTGCATTTTTCAAGCATGGTCTTATCAATGTTTCCAGCACCGTGGACGCGTCTAGCGTCTAGTAGCACCATCACATGGATTTGTGTCAAATGAGTGCTACCGGCGTGCCGTGTTTCTGGCCATGGCTTTTAGTTGTTTTCAATAGATCGCTGCAGGCGGGCTTAGGGGATCTTTTAAGATTCCATCTCCAAGCACAGGTTTGCCTGTAGGATCACAAAGCGGAAAATTCCTTGAGATTTTGGGAAGATGTGAAAAAACTCACATTGTTCGAAGGATTGCCTCTGATGCACAGGCTGGAGCCAGCAGCTGACGACAGGACTTGTGGGTTGTTGGCTTTGATGTGGCAGTCCCCAAATGGCAACATGTCTGCAGGTTGTATTTGCATCCCAGAGGCCCAGAGGCCCAGAAGTCGTAAAATTGCGAGTGTACGCGAGGAGACCAGAAGCATGCTCCAGAGGCCAGCTAGCTGCAGCTAGGTCGCTAGGTCTTGCGAGTTGAGGGTTTTAGATGTTTTAGTGCATTTGACTTGGTAGTGGGAGGAGTTCAACAAATTGGTTGGTGAAACGTGACGAATCCAAATTTGATGCGGACAGCTTGTGAGAGATTTGGTAATCTGGTTTTGTTTACTCAGATCTGCTGCCACTTTGTGTTGACCTCATCTCCATTTTGGCGCGCGGTTACCCCGTCCCCGTCAATGTCTTGATATTCTGGTTTGATACTTGATATGTCTTGACATGTAGACGGACGCAAATCGATTGAACATTGATGCTCAAGAACCATTCCAATACGTTTGGCATTGACATCGAAAGGACATGGATCAAAAAATGTGCTTTCAAGTCTTGGCAGGGAGAAGTTTCTGCGGAGACCTGCGTTGAATCTTGGATCTCCACTGATGCAGCAGGCCCGGACAGATGGCGATATCAGGGCAAGGCCAACTCAGGTGTTCCTTTTTGCAAATTGCACATGGTTTTGGCCACAGATCTTAAGACCCAAGGATGCATTTTGCATTTTTCAAGCATGGTCTTATCAATGTTTCCAGCACCGTGGACGCGTCTAGCGTCTAGTAGCACCATCACATGGATTTGTGTCAAATGAGTGCTACCGGCGTGCCGTGTTTCTGGCCATGGCTTTTAGTTGTTTTCAATAGATCGCTGCAGGCGGGCTTAGGGGATCTTTTAAGATTCCATCTCCAAGCACAGGTTTGCCTGTAGGATCACAAAGCGGAAAATTCCTTGAGATTTTGGGAAAATGTGAAAAAAACCACATTGTTCGAAGGATTGCCTCTGATGCACAGGCTGGAGCCAGCAGCTGACGACAGGACTTGTGGGTTGTTGGCTTTGATGTGGCAGTCCCCAAATGGCAACATGTCTGCAGGTTGTATTTGCATCCCAGAGGCCCAGAGGCCCAGAAGTCGTAAAATTGCGAGTGTACGCGAGGAGACCAGAAACATGCTCCAGAGGCCAGCTAGCTGCAGCTAGGTCGCTAGGTCTTGCGAGTTGAGGGTTTTAGTGGGAGGAGTTCAACAAATTGGTTGAATCCAAATTTGATGCGGACAGCTTGGTACTTCAGTAGCAACAGAATCATGTCCTGCTGCCCTGTGAGGTGGAGACTGCAGAGCCGAAATTGAAGGTGTGGGGGAGAAACTGGCTGCAATGGATGTAGAATCAGTCGGTGCATCTTACCCGATTCTTTCAAAGTTGAACATGTAGGTACATACAGGGATTTCATGATATACGGTGTGCAAGAATGAATAGTTTCGCGGGACTGGGATCGTCCATCAATGAGAATTGGCTTATTGTCATGTACTTGCACTTTGTGTTTTGGACTTCCATGTGCGGCTCAAATGAGGACTAGCTGGGGATTGTGAGGTTCAGGGTTTTTCAACAGGACAGTAGATTAGGTTCCTTTGGTTACAAAATGGGTCGATAGTGACTATCCGATACTGCAAAGTCGTCATGACCCAAGACCTGGTAATTTGGATACGGCTTATTCAGGTCTCGTGCCACTTTGCGTTGACCGGATTTCCCTCAGGTGGTTGACCGGTCTTGATGACGTTTAGACGGACCCAGCCAAATCGATTGAAAATTGATGCTCAGAAACCAGTCCAAGACGTTTGGTGTTGCTGACAAAAAACAGGATGGATGTGACATTCCATTGTAATCCCTTATACACCAATTATCACCTCTTATGATTGGATACATTCGGTGTTATAGCGGTGAACATTTAAGATAATTGGGCTATCGGTTTATCCATGTTTATCCTATGTTACCCCCTTTCATCCTATCCTTGCTTGGACCCTCTGCAGGTGCTTCCCACGTTGAATCTTCCGGTTCTTGATGGACCAGGCCCGAACAGATCGCGATGAGGATAGTACACATGCCATCTATGCCGTGCAAAAACATGACATGCTGCATGCATATGGTGAAGTAGTCAGCCACGTTTGAAAGCTTGCTGTGTTGCTTTTGTTTGGGGAAAACGTTTTGATTTTCTGAAGTTGGAACATTACCTTTTCAGCTGTAGTGCTGTTCTCAACTCAGGTAGCAAACATCTGCATGTTCTTCGCAAGGCGAAAGCCCATCAGAGACAAAGACAGCTCCTGAGGCGGCGAGTCGTGTGGAAAGAGGTGCAAGGTGGTGTCACCATAGTTAGGTAACTTGGTTTATATGTAGGCTAACTAGGGTTAATGACTTCATGATACTTAATGTGTTTTTTTTGGATTTGTCTATGCTTAACTGGGTTTATAAACCTATTTGCAACTGCGGGGGCACCTGTTTCAACAACGGTGAACGGTGCAACTAGTTGGACCACAACATGAGACAGGTATGCTGCAGGCTATTGTAATGATAACTTTGAGGGGGGAATGATGGTGCGATATTATATACCCTTTATTTACCCAGTTTTTCCCCGCTTCTGGGGTGGACGTAACCCTGTGCAGGATGCTTATTGTCATCAATGCATCAATTGTCATCGTTTCCTCTATCACTACATATTGCGGTGGAATTCCCACATGCTCATGACTCCCGCATCATGGAATACCATGGGAATAGCTCATGCTTGCATACGTAGCTGGCTGTTGGTTGAATTCAGCTTCAGTTTGGCTTTCGGAGTATTCCTGAGTATGGACAAACATTTGAGAAATGCTTTGCAGCATTTTGGGATGGCTTCAGTTTGAAATGACCACGGAAAAGGATCGCGGTTGATACTCGAAATAGGGCCACTGAACAATATTTTTTCACCTAGCCTAAAGCCGGAGTATATAGGTATTGACAAACTTCGAGGTGGACTTTTCTCTCACCGCGAACAAGCAACAACCCGGAATAAGCACCATTCCGAGGATAAATCCTTTTGTATGTAATATATTCACTGTCTCTTTCAGTCTTCTCTTTTCTCCGCATTTTTCTGCATTTTCTCCAAATAAAACCTTTGGGGACCGTGAAGGGTGACGATGGTGACGTGAAGGCGGACAAGGCGGACAAGGCTGCCTGTTTTTAAACCCTGGTTTTCTGGGTTTTCCCTTGTTGAAGCTGAAACCGGGTCTGAGAGAATGGGCCTGGCTAGTTCATGGATTCGGGGCAGAGGAACCCATGACAGGGATGCAGTCACCAAGTGGCAAGCCATTGAGACAATGGGCTTTTCTGCTGGATCCTGGATAGTAAACTTACATAAAGATACATAAAGTTGCATGGCAAATGGCAAGGTTTCCCAAGTGAACTTGGCGTTGCAGTTGAGACAGAGCTGCGAAAGTAGAGTAAGCCAAGTGTGAGGGATGCGGATGGTTCAACGATTGCATTACAATATAAGGAGTTGTGAGCTGCAGCCAGCGGCTACACCGGCGTCTCCGCGGGCCGTACCAATCGATGTATTCACAACCCAGGCACCTGGCTAACCAACAGCGCACAGGTTACAAAGAATACCTCAAAGAGAAATGCAAGGCTACCTCTGATGGTTCAGGCTGGAGTGGGGAATATCAGTGAGATGGGTTTCTGGCATGGCTCGGACAGATTTGTCTGAAACCCCAGGATTTTCAGGTTCGAACAAAAACCAGCTAACCCTCTCTTGTGACTTTGCAAGACCGTTCCCATACCGTTCCCATACCGGGATTGCATTGCAGGCGGTCGAGCTGCCGGACTATGTCCCCATCCTACCGCGGTCCCAGGACGATGAGAAATGGCCTTTGGTGACGAAGGCGGTTTCCAGAAATTGACTAGCAGGGGATGGGCGAGAACTTTCACTTCTGCAAACTGACTGAAGTTGAGCCAGGTTAGGTTCAACAGGGTTCCGGAGAAGGTTCCGGAGAAAGTTTCAGAGAAGGTCTCCGGAGAAGGTTCCGGTGAAGGTCTGGGAGGCTTTGGTGCAGAGCCAGGTCAGGTTCAACAGGGTTCTGGAGGAGGTTCCGGAGAAGGTCTGGGAGGCTTTGGTGCAGAGCCACGTCAGGTTCAACAGGGTTCCGAAGAAGGTGGTAGAGAAGGTTCCGGAGAAGGTCTCCGGAGAAGGTTCCGGTGAAGGTCTGGGAGGCTTTGGTGCAAGTCAGGTTCAGCAGGTTCCGGAGAAGGTTGCAGAAGCCAAGCCAGGTCAGGTTCATTTAATTCATGGAAACCAGCTGAGGTGTTTCCAGCGCTTGGCTTCCCAGCACGCTTCAGAAAGATTTGTAAAAACAACACGTTGCGGCTGTTGCGGATACCACCGAAGCTTAAACTTGATTCTTTTGTTTTTCCCCAACAGCAAAACTTTGCTATGGGGTTTTTAGCCCAGATTAGCTCCGGTGCGATCCGGTGCAGCTTCAACACCAGGTTCTGGACAAGGTTCCGGGGGGTTCTGGTGCAGATACCTCGTGAGGTTCCGGAGGGTTCCGGGGCAGATACCTTGTGAGGTTCTGGAAGGTTCCGGTGCAGAGACCTTGTGAGGTTCCGGAGGGTTTGGTGAGGTTCCGGAGGGTTCCGGTGCAGATAGCTTGTGAGGTTCCGGAGAGTTCTGGTGCAGATGCTTTGTGAAAGTCCAAAGGGTTCCGATTTTTTTTTATGGCATAAGCATTTAATTTTTATGGCATAAGCGCTTAATTTTTATGGCATAAGCACTTTTTATGGAAAAACGCAGGAGCTTTCGAGCTGTTGGGGATAGCACCTGAGTTTATTTTTGGTTTGATTCGTTGATAGGTTGCTTGACGTGATTGCTTTTTACATCTTTTTGCCTTCCCTCACCAGTTTTGTTCAATCAAAGTGCACCCAGTGCACCTGGTCGGGCCCGACTTTGCCGACAAAGGTGCTGCCAAGCATTTGATGCGGGGAAGTCCCAAGTATTCACGGAACAGACATGCAAGTAGGTGCTCACATTTGACCGAGAAGAAACATGTTCCAATCGGATGAAGAACTTACAGCCAGAAACGATCTTGGCTTCAGGGGACCTGTTCGACCCGAGTTAGCCTGAAAATCTAATGTGAAGCACTGCAAGCACCCCGACAGCCGCTTGTCCCATGAGCCCCATGTCTTATCATGATTTTATCATGCGCTTCTCGCCTGTCAGGTGGAGGTTCTCAAAAAGTGGGAGGTGCGGAACTCTGCGGAACGGCATTGGGTGTGGTCGTATGTGGTCGCTGTATGTGCAGATCGATTTTAATGCATCTGACTTGGTAGTGGGAGGAGTTCAACAAATTGGTTGGTGAAACGTGACGAATCCAAATTTGATGCGGACAGCTTGTGAGAGATTTGGTAATCTGGTTTTGTTTACTCAGAATTGCTGCCACTTTGTGTTGACCTCATCTCCATTTTTGCGCGCGGTTACCTCGTCCCCGTCAATGTCTTGATATTCTGGTTTGATATCTCTTGATATGTCTTGAGATGTAACTAGACGCAAATCGATTGAACATTGATGCTCAAGAACCATTCCAATACGTTTGGCATTGCTGACATCATCTGACATCGAAAGGATGGACATGGATCAAAAAATGTGCTTGCAAGTCCCGGCAGGGAGAAGTTTCTGCGGAGACCTGCGTTGAATCTTGGATCTCCACCGATGCAGCAGGCCCGGACAGATGGCGATATCAGGGCAAGGCCAACTCAGGTGTTCCTTTTTGCAAATTGCACATGGTTTTGGCCACAGATCCTAAGACCCAAGGATGCATTTTACATTTTTCAAGCATGGTCTTATCAATGTTTCCAGCACCGTGGACGCGTCTAGCGTCTAGTAGCACCATCACATGGATTTGTGTCAAATGAGTGCTACCGGCGTGCCGTGTTTCTGGCCATGGCTTTTAGTTGTTTTCAATGGATCGTTGTAGGCGGGCTTAGGGGATCTTTTAAGATTCCATCTCCAAGCACAAGTTTGCCTGTAGGATCACAAAGTGGAAAATTCCTTGAGATTTTGGGAAAATGTGAAAAAACTCACATTGTTCGAAGGATTGCCTCTGATGCACAGGCTCGAGCCAGCAGCTGACGACAGGACTTGTGGGTTGTTGGCTTTGATGTGGCAGTCCTAAATGGCAACATGTCTGCAGGTTGTATTTGCATCCCAGAGGCCCAGAGGCCCAGAAGTCGTAAAATTGCGAGTGTACACGAGGAGACCAGAAGCATGCTCCAGAGGCCAGCTAGCTGCAGCTAGGTCGCTAGGTCTTGCGAGTTGAGGGTTTTAGATGTTTTAGTGCATTTGACTTGGTAGTGGGAGGAGTTCAACAAATTGGTTGGTGAAACGTGACGAATCTAAACTTGATGCGGACAGCTTGGTACTTCAGTAGCAACAGAATCATGTCCTGCTCCCCTGTGAGGTGGAGACTGCAGAGCCGAAATCGAAGGTGTGGGGGAGAAACTGGCTGCAATGGATGTAGAATCAGTCGGTGCATCTTACCCGATTCTTTCAAAGTTGAACATGTAGGTACATACAGGGATTTCATGATATACGGTGTGCAAGAACGAATAGTTCGGGACTGGGATGGTCCATCAATGAGAATTGGCTTATTGTCATGTACTTGCAACTTTGTGTTTTGGACTTCCATGTGCGGCTCAAATGAGGACTAGCTGGGGATTGTGAGGTTCAGGGTTTGTCAACAGGACAGTTGTGCCCTGCCAGTAGATTAAGTTCCTTTGGTTACAAAATGGGTCGATAGTGACTATCCGATAGTGCAAAGTCGTCATAACCCAAGACCTGGTAGTTTGGATACGGCTTTATTCAGGTCTCGTGCCACTTTGCGTTGACCGGATTTCCCTCAGGTGGTTGACCGGTCTTGATGACGTTTAGACGGACCCAGCCAAATCGATTGAAAATTGATGCTCAGAAACCAGTCCAAGACGTTTGGTGTTGCTGACAAAAAACAGGATGGATGTGACATTCCATTGTAATCCCTTATACACCAATTATCACCTCTTATGATTGGATACATTCGGTGTTATAGCGGTGAAAATTTAAGATAATTGGGTTATCGGTTTATCCATGTTTATCCTATGTAAGCCCCTTTCATCCTATTCTTGCCTGGACCCTCTGCAGGTGCTTCCCATGTTGAATCTTCCGGTTCTTGATGGACCAGGCCCGAACAGATCGCGATGAGGATAGTACACATGCCATCTATGCCGTGCAAAAACATGACATGCGGCATGCATATGGTGAAGTAGTCAGCCACGTTTGAAAGCTTGCTGTGTTGCTTTTGTTTGGGGAAAAGTTTTGATTTTCTGAAGTTGGAACATTACCTTTTCAGCTGTAGTGCTGTTCTCAACTCAGGTAGCAAACATCCGCATGTTCTTCGCAAGGCGAAAGCCCATCAGAGACAAAGACAGCTCCTGAGGCGGCGAGTCGTGTGGAAAGAGGTGCAAGGTGGTGTCACCATAGTTAGATAACTTGGTTTATATCTAGGCTAACTAGGGTTAATGACTTCATGATACCTAAGTGTTTTTTTTGGATTTGTCTATGCTTAACTGGGTTTATAAACCTATTTGCAACTGCGGGGGCACCTGTTTCAACAACGGTGAACGGTGCAACTAGTTGGACCACAACATGAGACAGGTATGCTGCAGGCTATTGTAATGATAACTTTGAGGGGGGAATGATGGTGCGATATTATATACCCTTTATTTACCCAGTTTTTCCCCGCTTCTGGGGTGGACGTAACCCTGTGCAGGATGCTTATTGTCATCAATGCATCAATTGTCGTCGTTTCCTCTATCACTACATATTGCGGTGGAATTCCCACATGCTCATGACTCCCGCATCATGGAATACCATGGGAATAGCTCATGCTTGCATACGTAGCTGGCTGTTGGTTGAATTCAGCTTCAGTTTGGCTTTCGGAGTATTCCTGAGTATGGACAAACATTTGAGAAATGCTTTGCAGCATTTTGGGATGGCTTCAGTTTGAAATGACCACGGAAAAGGATCGCGGTTGATACTCGAAATAGAGCCACTGAACAATATTTTTTCACCTAGCCGGACCTAGCCGAAAGCCGGAGTATATAGGTATTGACAAACTTCGAGGTGGACTTTTCTCTCACCGCGAACAAGCAACAACCCGGAATAAGCACAATTCCGAGGATAAATCCTTTTGTATGTAATATATTCACTGTCTCTTTCAGTCTTCTCTTTTCTCCGCATTTTTCTGCATTTTCTCCAAATAAAACCTCTGGGGACCGTGAAGGGTGACGATGGTGACGTGAAGGCGGACAAGGCAGACAAGGCGGACAAGGCTGCCTGTTTTTAAACCCTGGTTTTCTGGGTTTTCCCTTGTTGAAGCTGAAACCGGGTCTGAGAGAATGGGCCTGGCTAGTTCATGGGTTCGGGGCAGAGGAACCCATGACAAGGATGCAGTCACCAAGTGGCAAGCCATTGAGACAATGGGCTTTTCTGCTGGATCCTGGATAGTAAACTTACATAAAGATACATAAAGTTGCATGGCAAATGGCAAGGTTTCCCAAGTGAACTTGGCGTTGCAGTTGAGACAGAGCTGCGAAAGTAGAGTAAGCCAAGTGTGAGGGATGCGGATGGTTCAACGATTGCATTACAATATAAGGAGTTGTGTGACCTGCAGCCAGCCGTACCAATCGATGTATTCACAACCCAGGCACCTGGCTAACCAACAGCGCACAGGTTACAAAGAATACCTCAAAGAGAAATGCAAGGCTACCTCTGATGGTGCAGGCTGGAGTGGGGAATATCAGTGAGATGGGTTTCTGGCATGGCTCGGACAGATTTGTCTGAAACCCCAGGATTTTCAGGTTCGAACAAAAACCAGCTAACCCTCTCTTGTGACTTTGCAAGACCGTTCCCATACCGTTCCCATACCGGGATTGCATTGCAGGCGGTCGAGCTGCCGGACTATGTCCCCATCCTACCGCGGTCCCAGGACGATGAGAAATGGCCTTTGGTGACGAAGGCGGTTTCCAGAAATTGACTAGCAGGGGATGGGCGAGAACTTTCACTTCTGCAAACTGACTGAAGTTGAGCCAGGTTGGGTTCAACAGGGTTCCGGAGACGGTTCCGGAGAAGGTTCCGGTTCCGGGAGGCTTTGGTGCAGGACCAGGTCAGGTTCAACAGGGTTCCAGAGAAGGTTGTGGAGAAGGTCTGGGAGGCTTTGGTGCAAAGCCAGGTCAGGTTCAACAGGGTTCCGGAGAAGGTTTTGGAGAAGGTTCCGGTCCCGGGAGGCTTTGGTGCAGAGCCAGGTCAGGTTCAACAGGGTTCTGGAGGAGGTTCCGGAGAAGGTCTGGGAGGCTTTGGTGCAGAGCCACGTCAGGTTCAACAGGGTTCCGAAGAAGGTGGTAGAGAAGGTTCCGGAGAAGGTCTCCGGAGAAGGTTCCGGTGAAGGTCTGGGAGGCTTTGGTGCAAGTCAGGTTCAGCAGGTTCCGGAGAAGGTTGCAGAAGCCAAGCCAGGTCAGGTTCATTTAATTCATGGAAACCAGCTGAGGTGTTTCCAGCGCTTGGCTTCCCAGCACGCTTCAGAAAGATTTGTAAAAACAACACGTTGCGGCTGTTGCGGATACCACCGAAGCTTAAACTTGATTCTTTTGTTTTTCCCCAACAGCAAAACTTTGCTATGGGGTTTCTAGCCCAGATTATCTCCGGTGCGATCCGGTGCAGCTTCAACACCAGGTTCTGGACAAGGTTCCGGGGGGTTCTGGTGCAGATACCTCGTGAGGTTCCGGAGGGTTCCGGGGCAGATACCTTGTGAGGTTCTGGAAGGTTCCGGTGCAGAGACCTTGTGAGGTTCCGGGGGTTTGGTGAGGTTCCGGAGGGTTCCGGTGCAGATAGCTTGTGAGGTTCCGGAGAGTTCTGGTGCAGATGCTTTGTGAAAGTCCAAAGGGTTCCGATTTTTTTTTATGGCATAAGCATTTAATTTTTATGGCATAAGCGCTTAATTTTTATGGCATAAGCACTTTTTATGGAAAAACGCAGGAGCTTTCGAGCTGTTGGGGATAGCACCTGAGTTTATTTTTGGTTTGATTCGTTGATAGGTTGCTTGACGTGATTGCTTTTTACATCTTTTTGCCTTCCCTCACCAGTTTTGTTCAATCAAAGTGCACCCAGTGCACCTGGTCGGGCCCGACTTTGCCGACAAAGGTGCTGCCAAGCATTTGATGCGGGGAAGTCCCAGTATTCACGGAACAGACATGCAAGTAGGTGCTCACATTTGACCGAGAAGAAACATGTTCCAATCGGATGAAGAACTTACAGCCAGAAACGATCTTGGCTTCAGGGGACCTGTTCGACCCGAGTTAGCCTGAAAATCTAATGTGAAGCACTGCAAGCACCCCGACAGCCGCTTGTCCCATGAGCCCCATGTCTTATCATGATTTTATCATGCGCTTCTCGCCTGTCAGGTGGAGGTTCTCAAAAAGTGGGAGGTGCGGAACTCTGCGGAACGGCATTGGGTGTGGTCGTATGTGGTCGCTGTAAGTGCAGTTGGTGTAGAATTTTCATTGATTTTCAGAGAACATGTGCAGATCCCTTTCTGAGACAACCTCTTGCTGCAACTGAAGTAACAAGTTGAAACATTGTGGTAGGATAGTGAACGGCCGAAGTACATGAGGACTTTTCATTGTTCTCAATTCCGCGAAGCACATTTCGCCAGGCACCCAAACGCCCGCATACTCAGCCCCTGTCACCCTTGGTCTTGACATGACAAGGTTGTGGGAGTTGTTGATTTGATCCGAATGTATCTGAAGACGTCATTTTTCGTGTGATCAACTTAAAAAAACATCACAAAAAACAACTTTCTCAAGATACAGGTCTAAATCGGAATGAAGGGAGCTCATCAAGGACTTCATATGAGCAAGATGATATGAGATGGGGTTAATATGGGTTAATGGTGTCTGAATTCGGGCTGAGGTCCACCAAAGCCGATGCCACAAATTGTCACTGGACGAAGGCTCGACAGCTGCGGCTGCGGTTGGGGGGGTTGTCTTCACTTTCATGTTGGACCTTGAAGGCATTGAGGTCCAAGAGGTCTTCCTGGGTGCAAAGTCATGAGTTGTGTGGAACCACGTCCCCCGTGGTCGCCCCCCGAGAGGAGATTTCCGGCACGCAAGTCCGCACGCATGCGGTTGACAGGTGTCCCTTCTTCAATGATGCCCACTGCAAGCTGATTCCGGCTGGTAGAGGGTCATCATCCTTTTTCATCCTCATCCTCACCCTCATCCTCCTCCTCATCATCATCCCCATCATCCGCAGCATCCACATCATCCTCATCCTCATCATCCTCTTCGTCCTCATCATCATTGATCAGCATCCTCATCCCCTGGTCCCGCTGGGCCATGGGTTTCCTGCAGGTATAGGGTCGTTTTCTTCAGTATTTCATCTTCAGGACGTCATGTTCAGTAAATCAACCATCAACCCTATAAAATCATCATCGGAAACTTGCCAGCTTCCAAACGATCATGATTATCTTCCTCTTCCTCCTCCTCCTCTTCCTCCTCTTCCTCCTCTTCCTCCTCATCAGCCTCATCAGCCTCATCAGCCTCATCAGCCTCATCAGCCTCATCAGCCTCATCAGCCTCATCAGCCTCATCAGCCTCATCAGCCTCATCAGCCTCATCAGCCTCATCAGCCTCATCAGCCTCATCAGCCTCATCAGCCTCATCAGCCTCATCATCCTCATCAGCCTCATCATCCTCATCCTCATCCTCCTCCTCCTCATCATCATCATCATCATCATCCTCATCGTCGTCATCATCATCATCATCATCAACCTCGTCCTCGTCCTCGTCCTAGTTATCGTCATCGTCATCGCCATCGCCATCGTCATCGTCATCATCATCATCGTCATCATCATCATGATCATCATGATCATCATCATCATCATCATCATCATCCATATGTTGTATTGTCTTGAACATCTTTCGTATGCATACTGCAGATTCGGGCTTCCATTTCGGAGGCGCTTTTTTTTGATATCGTGTTTCGTTTGCTTACAAAACCTAGCGGGAGACCATAATCATCATCTTCATTTTCATCTTCATTTTCATCCTCATTCTCATCCTCAGCATCCTCATCATCCTCATCATCCCCATAGTCCTCATCTTCCTCATAATCCTCATCATCCTCATCATCCTCTTCGTCCTCATCATCGTCGTCATCAACTCATTCCTGTTACCAACACTTTCGTCATCATCAGTTTCCTTCATCGTTCTGGTCAGCAACCTCATCAACATCAAAAGATTGGCACTGTTGTGACTTGCAGCAACTCCAAAAAGCCGCGTGAGACCGTTGCTGCATTCTGACTTCACCTTGCTGTTCCCCCTTTACGATTACCACCCTACCCCAGCCCTGCTAGCTTTCGTACCTCCCCCCTGGCCTCAAGTTTGATTCCTTGAAGTCAAAACCTGGAGGCAAGACAGGCGTTTCTATGGGAAAGCTCTGAAACGTGCGGGGGGCCTCTTTCTTGATTGAGATGTGGGCTGGGTATCAACAATAGAGATGAAGACTTTGATGCAGTGCAGGTTCCATTCGAACTCCCGAACTCCAGAGGGTCCAAGTGGTTTCAGGCAGGGTTATATGCTCTGAAATGGGAATGAATCGAGAATGCCTTGATTGTCATTGCATACTTATTGTGTTTTTACTACCAGATGGGACAGGCATAGATGTTGAGGAACCCTGAGGACAAATGAGGTGCTGTAAAGATCTATTGGACACCTGGGGCTGTGCAGGAAATGTCATTCTAACGCATGCCTAGCCGTTGCAAGTTTGGCAATTCGTTCCATGTGATTCGCGGATGAGACGCACGATGTGTGCTGCTTAGGTGCCGCGTTGGGACCCCCGCCCAGCTGACTACGCCAGTCTCCCGGAAGGTCCGCAACAAATCCGAGAGATTGCCAGATGTGTCAGTTATTGTCAGTTGAGATGAGGCAATAAACTTCAATAGATGCTAAGCAGTCCCATGTAATTTTTTCAGATGGTCAAATTGAAACGCAAACTGTAAGACGGTTTTCTGAACAACACATGTGTTCCATGTGCAGGTTTGGTTGACTTGTGACGATTTGTCAAGATGGGAAAAAACTTTTTATTGGGAGTGCGTTGTTTAGGCAGCCCAGAGATGCAATACCGAACACTGTGCAGGGATGCTTTTGGTGTTCTCACAAGACGGCCGGCGAGCTGTCCGGGACCGAGATTTGTGAAACCGCTTGATGGAATTTGCCTGAATCATTCTACGAATGAATGTGGATCAACATTGACGACGAAGACACTAGATTGAACTGCAGTCCAGCAGTTTCATTGCATCAAACCCAGATCGGTCAACAACCACCAGGCTGGGGATGACAGATGTGACAGTGACAGTTTGCCAGTGTTTTTGACTTGTGTCTTGCCTGTCACCGGGAAACTGAGCAAAAGATAGATATGACTCATCATGACTCCATTTTTTGAAATTTGGTCTGTTGTCTTGTCGTGACTGCCTCTCTACGTGAGCAGGCCACAGTTAGCATTGGAACCATCCCAATGAAATGATGCCATGTGAAGCAAAACGCTGTCAGATTAAGAGATTCAAAAAGAGGCAGCAATGAACCGTTTACTTTCACATCTTTCACATCTTTCACCGGGTGGGTCGGGAACCCTTCAATTGTCAAATGGACGGTGCGACGTGCGAGACCGATGCAATGCGATACCGGCGATACCCTTAGTCTATCGAGTCCATCATCCCATTGCGGCACAGAGCTCATGGCAGGTGGGATAGTTGGATAGTGAGCTTGTTTTAGGTTATTTTGTGTAGAATTTAGTGCATTCCTCCAGTCCTAGTTCGGATCAAAGTTTGGTCATAACCAAGAAATTCGACACTTCATCCAGGGTTTTGATTGTTTTGACCCAAGTGGACGCAAACCGGTGATGGGATCAGTCGGCAGAACTGGTCGCGGATGTCTCCAATTGATAACACAGACCAGGGCCATTCCCTGGGCCTTCCCTTTCTAGGAATTAGATGGAATTAGGTCCTAGGAGCCATTAGAAGCTTTGGCTTGACCATTAGCCATTCCCTTAGCGCAGGTCCAAATCTCCCAGCCACCAGGCGCGATGTGATCGGGGTGACGGGGTGTGGGCTTAATTGTTGCCTCGATGTTATGGGCGGCCCAGGCCTGCGGATGGTTGCGGTGCCCGCTGTGCCCGCCTAGCGTAGCGGCATCGTACCGGCTAGCGGCGCAATTTGCAACGCCGGTGCGTAATGTTCTAGCTCTTTGGAGATCTTTGGAGATCTTTAGCTCTTTGGCTACTGGCAAAGTACCAGTAGTTGGCTGCAACAGGGTATTGATTTGAGGTTACCAGAACATGCGACGTTTAAATGGGTCCCCAGCTGAACGGAGAGGACAGTTACCGACATTTACGGCACGATGATAAAGGTGAAGTGAGTTGAAGTGTTAACAGTGTCAGAACCTCGTCATTCCCTTTTGCAGTTGCTGCACTGCACCGGCTTCGCTAGTGGAAAGTTTGCCGCATGAAGAATGATTTCCGAAACAGGATCAGTATCATTTCCTCCCAGTTGTTGTCAACATAGGATAGATGGAAGAATGCAATTGACAACAAGGATCTTCTGGAATGCCAGACCATTCACTGTGCGTACCTATGTGGGTTGTCTTCAAAAGCTGTTTTTTTTTGGCGGCAGAAGTTGCGACAGTCTATGGTTCTTTCCATGTCGAACAGCCTTGGATCTTGGGTCCCAAGTATTTTTGGATGCACTTGATCAAGTGGCACTTCAAAGAACCGTGCAGGAGCTGTCGCCCTTAATGTGCTTAATGTGTGATGTTTTTTCTGCGATATATTGGTCGAAACATGGACCGAATGGCCCTGTGAGAGATTGTGAAAAGGCTTCGGCCGCTGCTTTGCTGCGGCCAGACACGATCACAGTTTGGGACCTTCATCTTGCCCATTTTATATGAGAATCTCACTTCCTCATGGCAATTCCCAGACCAGATCACGTCAACATGGCATTATGACAGCAAGGGTTGAAAGGGAAACCAAGTACCTGCACCAAATCCCTGCTATTCCCCACACAATATGATCCACAAGAAACAGTATAATTTGTGAGTGAGGCCATCCTTCCCCATTGCGTCATATTGCCTCAAGGGTTTTGTAGCCGGTAGCCATTGTTGTCGATGAGGCGTTTGCTCATTAGCCCTGTCATGGAATGTGTGCACTTTGCATGTTCTGCAAGCAAAGTTTGCTCGTCATGCCGCGGTCATTCCAGACTCTTGAAAACCCAAAGAAAATTGGAAAGTTGCAACAGATCCCCAATGTTTTCCAGAGTTTGTTGCCTTGAAATTGGCACTCCCTTACACCACAACAGAGAAGCACACTTAGCCATGGGTCGTGCAAGCAGGACGGAGGCTCGGTCCAGTGGGGGAATCTGGAAGAAATGCTAGTGATTAACAGCCACTTAACAACTATTTCGTTCACCAGGAGGGGTTTTGAACATTTTGAACCACGTTTGGTATCATGACTCTTAGTGCCAATATGCGAAATCCAAACCATGAAGCAATATGGCGACTCAGGTCGAACGGTCCTACCATTCACGTGCGCCCGTTCTAGGTGAAGTTCTACGAAGGCATCGAGTTTGTCAAACATTACCGTGCCCACTTAAGCAGCTTGGTGAAGTGGTGACCAAGGGTTGTCTGCACAGAACACGGTGCTCAAAGGCTCAAAGGCTCAAAGGCTCAAAGGCTCAAAGGCTCATATGATGTGGGGTGGAAATACTAGAGATGCGTGGGAGATGTTGGAGGTACATTTCATCTTCTCTCCCTTGCTCGCCTTGATTGGCTAGAAATTCCAACTGTGGAGTCAATGCTGCATGTCAGAAAAAACCTGCACGTGCCTGGCAAGGGAGTCACAGCTCCTTCGTATGTTAATATAATTTACCAGTAGGCGGTGGCGGAAGTTTCAAAAATGGAAAACCTATAGGAGAGGTGAGTTGGTGTGACGCAAAAATGGCAGAGCAAACCCACTGATGGATTGAAAGGTGGTTGAGTGTTTCTCCCTTTCTGTCTCTCTTTTTCTCTTTCTCTCTGTGTCTCTCTTTCGCCATCTATCTACAGAGCTACCTTTCTAGCCATCTACCTATCTACCTATCTATTCATGTATCTATCGATCGATTTGTTTATTCACCTATCTATTAAACTGTCTATCTTTCTGTCTATCCAGCCATTCATCCATCCACTTACTTCTCTCTGTTAGTTTTTTTTTTCCGTCCATCTCTTCATCGATCCATGTCCACAGCTATCTTGTACTGCGCCTGCCACGAAAAATGCATCTGTGCAGATCCTCTTCAAATCTCCCACGCCTGCCATCGTTTTTGAAAATGCTACAACACACGTTTTAGTCACTTTTCAGTGGATGCACAATCCACTCCACCTGCCACACAAAACGACGTCTGAACGTCCAAAATGTCTCCGAGACCCTCAGTTTTTAACACTTTTGACTTCGAAATGTGCTTCGCGCCACAACGCCGTGCACTTTTTCGACATCTCAACTTCCAAAAGTGCTCCGAGACCCTCAGTTTTTAACACTTTTGACTTCGAAATGTGCTTCGCGCCACAACGCCGTGCACTTTTTCGACATCTCAACTTCCAAAAGTGCTCCGAACCCCTCAGTTTTTAACACATTTTACTTCCAAATGTGCTTCGCGCCACAACGCCGTGCACTTTTTCAACATCTCAACTTCCAAAAGTGGTCCGACAATGTGTGTTTTGTACCTTTTCACTTCGAAATCGGCTTCGCGCCACAACGGCGTGCAACTTTTCATCTCTCATCTCCCCAGATGTCTCCGCACCCGCCGCTTTAGCGAGCCTACTTTTCAACCCTCCGGAGCCACAAAACCACGAAAAAACACAGTGTTTCGTGACTTTCCTACCTTTTCGCGCTGTAATATATTGTAATACCAGTAGTACCGCACAAGGCGGTGGCGGAAGTTTCAAAAATGGAAAACCTATATAGGAGAGAGGAGTTGGTGTGACGCAAAAATGGCAGAGCGAACCCACTGATGGATTGAAAGGTGGTTGAGTGTTTCTCCCTTTCTGTCTCTCTTTTTCTCTTTCTCTCTGATGCCGTTAACAACGACTAAGCCTATGCGCTAACTCCATCCATGTGTCTCTCTATTTCTGTCGCTATCTATTTCTCTATGAATCTTTCTACCTACCTACCCACCCATCTATTTCTCTATCTTTTTATCTGTCTAGCTACCTAGCTACCCATCTATGTCTCTGTCTGTTTTTCTATGTCTCCATCTATGTATCTAATCTATCTATCTATCTACCTACCTATCTATCTATCTACCTATCTATCTATCTATCTATTGATCTATCTATCTATCTGTCTATCTGTCCATCTATCTAGTAAACTATCGATCTATCTCCCTATGTGTCTATCTATGCATCTATTCATCCGTCAAGTTCTCTCTCCACCTGTCCTTCGATCTACCTCTTGACCTCTCGATCAATCTGTCTAACCGCCACGTCGACAACAAAACAATGCTGCTAGACTTCTGTTGGCAACATCAAAAACGAAGCAATTCTGCGAGACTTTCTCACTTTTTGCAGTTGAAAACATCAAAAACGAAGCGATTCTGCGAGACTTCCTTCAAAAATGGAAAGTTGACTGTACAGCTGACGGCCTCGTACCAATGCGTTTTGCGATTTTTCCATGCCGTGTCTCTAAAGTACTGCGCCTGCCACGAAAAAGTTAGTCCAGGTCATACGAAATGCTGCACCTGTCACGAAAAAGCATCTTGGCATAGCTGATGATTTGATACGCCAAAATGCAACCCCTCTCAGGAAATCAGCTCCTTGAGCTCCGAACATCTCTGCTGAAGATGCCTCTTGTACTGCGCCTGCCACGAAAAATGCATCTGTGCAGATCCTCTTCAAATCTCCCACGCCTGCCATCGTTTTTGAAAATGCTACAAAACCCTCACGTTTTAGTCACTTTTCAGTGGATGCACAATCCACTCCACCTGCCACACAAAACGACGTCTGAACGTCCAAAATGTCTCTGAAATGTGCTTCACGCCACAACGCCGTGCACTTTTTCGACATCTCAACTTCCAAAAGTGCTCCGAGACCCTCAGTTTTTAACACTTTTACTTCGAAATGTGCTTCGCGCCACAACGCCGTGCACTTTTTCGACATCTCAACTTCCAAAAGTGCTCCGAGACCGCCAGTTTTTAACACTTTTTACTTCCAAATGTGCTTCGCGCCACAACGCCGTACACTTTTTCGACATCTCAACTTCCAAAAGTGCTCCGAGACCCCTCAGTTTTTAACACTTTTGACTTCGAAATGTGCTTCGCGCCACAACGCCGTGCACTTTTTCGTCATCTCAACTTCCAAAACTGCTCCGAACCCCTCAGTTTTTAACACATTTTACTTCCAAATCTGCTTCGCGCCACAACGCCGTGCACTTTTTCAACATCTCAACTTCCAAAAGTGCTCCGAACCCCTTCAGTTTTTAAGACATTCTACTTCCAAATCTGCTTCGCGCCACAACGCCGTGCACTTTTTCAACATCTCAACTTCCAAAAGTGGTCCGGCGCTGAGGTGTTTTGTACCTTTTCACTTCGAAATCGGCTTCGCGCCACAACGGCGTGCAACTTTTCATCTCTCACCTCCTCAGATGTCTCCGCACCCGCCGCTTTAGCGAGCCTACTTTTCAACCCTCCGGAGCCACAAAACCACGAAAAAACACAGTGTTTCTCGACTTTCCTACCTTTTCGCGCACCTGCATCTTCTTTCTTCTGATCTTTTCTCTTCTGACTCTTCTCCCTGCTGACTGCTTTTTCATCTCTCCATATTGTCGGAAGTTTGACTTCTAAACTTCCTTCGATTATATAAATGCGAATGGGGACTCTACGGGGCTATAGTGTAAGTTAACCCCCGTATTCATTCAAGGGATCGCATGCCAACGCCATGTTGGCTCAAGACCCCAATGCCACAGGAAAACACTGCGCTCCGTTCTGCAATGCCAGCTTGAAACGCTGAAACGGCACGCATCTAAACTCCGACTACAAGCCAAGTGATACATCCGGAACAGGGATCATTCTGGTCACAATATATATATTATATATGATTAACATTGATTAACTAGTAGTTGAGTTGCCGATTGTCTTTCGTAAAATTCACTTCCTTCCCAAATGTGCTGAGCCAAGGCAAGCTTCTGGCCATGGTCACAGGTTGGGAACTGGGCACCGAAATGTCATGCTGTGCAGCGAATTTTGGCAGGGCACTGTCCAGGATGTTGCAGCTGTCCAGACCGTTATAGCTCCATCTGAGCTCCATATGAGCTCCAC